GCGAGAGAATTTCACGGTTGCGGGCTTCTCTCTCTCTCTCTCTCTCTCTCTCGCCCCCTCCTTCTTCTTACGACTACCTGATGTTTCTTTCCACCCTTTCCTTTTACGCTTTAAATTTCTCGTTGCTCCTCTTTTATATCTTCGAGATATTGTTCGAGTTGAGAATCGCGCTTAAGACGATTCAAGACGATTTAATTCGTTTTTTTCTTTTTCTTAAAAAAGAATATATCGATAATGATTTTTCATTTTTACTGAATACAGAGCGATTAAAAAATAATTCTGTCTTATAGATGCTTTATAGATACGTCGATTTGGACTTGGAAATTCCTTTGACAAATCGTTTTATTCGTCACCACCGAGTTTTACCTCGTTTCGCGTGCATTCGGACATGGAAGAAGAAGGAAGAGAACGAAGATAAAAGTATTTTTCTGTAATTGCATGGGACTCGTGGCGTACATGCACGATAATATCGAATAACATTAACACTCGCGCCGTTGTATCAACAAGAGGATCGCGAGTTGGCGAGAAACAGGAGGAGCTCGTTACCGAATGAACTCGGTCGAAATTTCAGAATTAAATTTAAATCTCATTCAACTTTACCGTTCACAGCGGCGAGTCGCGGATGTTGCAACACCGGGCACCGAAAATACGCTTCCCTCGCCCACTCGGCCACGAAAACGTTAATGCCGGCCTTTTCGCGGGCACACGAGTTGAGAAATTATCTGGAACCGTGTTTAGGATCACCGAATAATTTGATCCGCCCCGCGGTATCGACCCATCGTCCGGGGCCAACTTTTAATTGCGTTCCCTCGAAACGATGCCTTCCCTTTCGCAAATTTAATCCGTCCCACTGCTAATGAACCGGTCGAACACCGGTTTGTTTCTAAAAATTTCACTCCTCGAAATTTAATTACGAAATTCACAATAAACAACACGTTGCTCGAACAAATCCAGTCCTCGGCCAAGGATTAACGAAAACGTTCGCACGGACGCGAAATGTAAATACTCTTTGTGTAATAAACACATCGAAACCCATTTGAAAGGCAAGATTCTCTCAAAATATTTTACAAGTCGAACAAATTGAACGAGATTAATCATTCGCAGCGAAAACTTGTTTCTCCCATTAACGTTTCTCGCTAATTACTTTCTCGTCTACCTTGTTGTAACACCAACAGGATAAGAAAAGGGAGAGAGAGCGCATGTGAGAAACATTCGTGTACACGTGCATCGTCCCCGAGACAATGGGACACTCCTCCTTCTCTTCTTCTTCTTCTTCTTCTTCTTCTTCGTGCAACTCGAGGAAATTCTCGACGATCTTCTTTTTTCCAGGAGCTAGACTCGGTTGTTGGCACGGCGAATCGACCAAGAACACGCGAGAATATCCGATGGCAACGCGGAAAACTGCGGCTCGGTTGCGGTGACTGCGACCGCATAGAAAAATGTAGGCCGCGGAAGCGATACCTGGTTGCCGAGGGATCGTCGCGAAATTCGCGATCGACCGATGCTCGGTCAGTCCTGGATGAAACGCGATTACGTATCGAACGAGCACTCCTGCTCGTGAAGGATTTTACGTCGTCTTTTCATCGTCGCCAACTCGAAACTCGATTTTTTTTTTAGCGGTTGAACGACAAATAACCGACACTGCGATGGAAATGTTTCTTCGACTTGGAAGTTGGAAGTTCGAATATGCCTGCGCGAGGAAGAAAAATGATATAAGCAGGGTGATCGGCTAACGTATCCGCTTCCCTTCGATCGATCCAACGGAGCGTCGAGTAAACCGATCGATAAACACGAATTCTTTCCCAACTATACGGAGAAGCTATACTTTAAGAAGCTTTTTAAAATTAATTCACATCGTATCGTAGCAACTGACTAAATATTATTTAAAATTATTTAACTCGTAAACTATACGTGTATACGAATATATATCCATCCGATTCCACGATATATGTTCATATTCCTCGTGACAAGAAACTCGGTGGAAAGAAATTATTATATTTTATATGGAATCGTTGCGGAAGGATGGTCGAGATACTATACCGAATTCTTCCAACTTTTCCAGAGATAGGAACGAAACTGATTAGAAACTGAAAACTGAAGAAAATTGGGGACGAGGAGAAAGAGAGAGAGAGAGAGAGAGAAATAGAGAGAGCACAAATCGAGGCGAAACGTACTTCTTGCGTGCACAGCTCCACCGCGAGTTCCCGTGTTCCAGGTGAAGTTGACCGATTCCTGGATCCGTCCCGATATCCGCGTGCACAGCGGTTCGTGCACGTTCACACGTTCGCACAGTGTTACACGCGTAACGGTTCGCACGATGCGTGACATGCGTGTGCCGCGCGTATGACGTGGCGTGTGTGCGGAAGTATATTGATCAGCTGATGGTCGGGTGGATACTGGGCTGCCTCGCAGAATTCACCATATTGTTGCGTCAGCGCGCATGCGCCGAGCCCTCGCTTTCGTCCCTTCGTTTCACCCTTTTCGCGTGTGCGCCTCCCCCCTCCACCTCACGATAACCCTTGCCAGACCGTGATGGCACGCCGCACTTTCTTTCGCCTTTTTCTCCTTTTCAATGGAAAAATCTCTCTGGGGGGAGGAAAAACGAGTAGGACGGTGATAGGGTCAACGGGCTGCCCCGTAACGGGGTTGAGGAGATGAATTTGCGAATACGCTGCCCCCCGACAGCGAAAGTATTAACCCGCGAACCGTGGTTCGAAGGCGTATTCGAGGTTATTAATTTTACGATATGAGGATACATTTGAGAATAAAAGTTAAACGTTTAGAATTATCGGTTCTTCTAGAGTTGTTATTTGTTATTCGATCGAGTATTTTTGATTCTTTTTTTTTTTTTTTTTAGATCGATCTTGGAAAACGGTCGATTTAAAATATTGGACGAGGTCGGCCAGTCGAAGGATCAGGAAAGCCCTCAACAACAACTTTGAAAACTTTCGATTTCCGGGTGATTACAAAAAGCCAAGTCGAAGGAAGCCAATGTACATCGTATTTATTTCCGATAAAACTCATCGTTATTGTTGTTAAGTTTTCTTTTTCAACGATGTTTTAACGATTAATCGCGTTGTCGAGCTATATATATATATATATATGCATAAGATTTTAAAGATGTGTGGAACTCAAAGAAAAACATCAAATTTTCCATCGATTGGTAAAACTAGCAAATGTGAAAATTGAATGTGCAGGAATTTATCGGAGAAAGGCGCGAGTATTGTGCGTGTCATATCTATGACGCTTTCTAAATCCGCGAAAGCTTAAGTGCTAGCTATATTTATGCCGCTTGGAACCGCTTAGGAAATCATGTTCTTACGATGCAATAAAAATCTTTTAGGCACTCGTCTCTAATGATTCGTAATAAACTTTATCCGAGAAAAACGAAGATTTTTCTCTCTCTCATTTCATAAAAAAAATACTCGATTTCTGTAGATCTCGTTCTTTGGTGATTTTCGCCAAACTGGCGAAAGGACCGATTCGATTTTCGATTTTTTCAACGCGAAAATATCGAATAAAACGATAATCTTCGGATAGCGACAAAACAAACTTTTCGTTTCGTTAGATGGTTAATATTCTTCGATACTATTACAAAACTAATTTCATCTCGAAGCGAATCGCATTATGAATTTGTTTACTCTTTCATGCAAAGTTTACTCTTTCTATGTATTCTATGCAAAGTGAATTTTTCATCATTTTAAACATATACTCTTTTAATGCTTTTAATCTCTCAACGAAAGGAATATCTATATCTTCAATTTGAATATATTGACCTTATTTGATCTCTGACGAGAACCTAATATTTTTATCATAAATTTTGGCAATTTTTCAAGAAACGATTTCATTTCCCCGACTTTGTAATAATTTTTTTACGATGATACAATAGACGAATGAATTTTAAATTTAAAATTAGGAAAATTATAGGTTTTTTTCTCGCGAGGTTACCTTCCCTCGCGAAAAACACGAGTGGATCGTGAGGCGAATTTTGAGTTGGCCAGATTTTCATCGTTCGACCGATGAATTCCCATTTTTGTCGGTTTTCGGTTTTTGCGAATTAACCGCACTTCGGTTTCATCCGTTCGCAAAGAATTTCGCAGAGATTCGATAAGGGAATTATTTAGCTCGACGGCAACCGAAAGGTTAACAAGATAATTCTATCCTGCGAAGCCAGTGGAACTTGGAAGCGACGCGAGTTCGTAACCTACTTTCGGCATAACTTCGCGTTTCTATTTAACCGGACAATATTGTTCCAAGTTCGATAATCACGAAGCGAAACGGATAAGAACAGGACGGACGATGATAATTCGAACGAGGATCATTTCGAAGAAATTATTTCTCTAATTTAGAGAAATCACTTTAAATTGCAATTGGAAATTGCAGCGGGTTGCCATAAAAATTTTTATGCCGTGAAATTTTAGAAATTTCTAAATTTTAACACCGTAACACGAAGAATGGAAAACGAGTCG